GGGGGACTGGCTACTATTGGTGGGTTGATCTAGATCGTTTCCCGGTTTTGGAATGTCTCATCTCCCCCTTCCCCAGTGACATCTCAGAGATAGGTGCTATATATGGAAATTGCACTCTACTCTACCCTAGGAGAGTGCTAGATGGCTAGTGTGTAGATAGTCTAATTGAAATCCTGGATGGCGGGTAGATGAGTGATTTCCTGTGATCCAATAACGTTTTGCGTCCTGGTCGTAAGATATATGGTGGCTAGCTAGCTGTGGTGTGTAGATAGATAGGCACTTACTCTCCTCAGCTTGTCGTGTCTAGAGAATTGAGTGAGCGCCTATGCGCATTGCGTTACGGCGCACGGATGTAGTGAATTTCTTTCTCAGGGCGACATTTTGATGCCAGAAATAGCGATGTCCACCAGTTAGCACAGTAAGCCAGCTTGGGAGCATTCCCAGATCGAGCTCTGAGGAAAGAATAGCTAGACTCGAATTGTATCTCGATACATCTCAATCTCAGATGTGGTCCGTGTTGCTACCAGCGAGTGAAGTGACGAGAGCCGTTACCAGTGCTGTTGTTTGCCAATATGGGATTAGGGCTTGTATCAGCTCAATCCTTCCTCTCCTTCCTCATCTTCCTCTATTCGCTATCGGTACACTATCACAGACCAGACCATAGCATACTATACCATCAGCGCCTCATCAAACTCGAGGGATGCAATTTAGTATCTGGCGCGCGCTCCCCGGCGGGAAAACCAGAGCGGACCGAGAAAGCCACATAGTGCACGGGGTGCCGCCGTGATGTCATTATTCTTTTCTTTCGTCGGTCTAGCAATTGTAAGTCAGCGTTGTTGATCAAACTGGGGTGAAGGGGTAGATGTGTTGGTGAGAGGTGATACTCGTAGTTTTGCTAGGAGGAGTTGGAGAGGGCCGTGGAGTCGGTAGCTGTTGAGAAAAGAACCTGCATTCCACGTAGGTAGTTTGAACTTTGCATCGCGGGCCAGAAGGATGTGCTGGTAAGATCAGTTTAAGGGGTTGATCTATGGAGGAGAAGGAGGAGGTTCGGCATAGCGTTTTGGCTCTGCATGGGATTTTCTTTTGTACGGAAATGTCCGTCTTCGTGTTCACTCCCGGTGCAGTTCGCGAATTTGGTCGTGGATACCCGCTTCGGTATGTAGCGGGGTAGTATGCACAGTACCAGAAGCGTAGGTAAAGCTGATCCCGCATCCCGCACGGCATATTCAACTCGCAATGCCGAAGAACACAGCAGCCCCACGGTATTATTAGACTATATATAAAAAGAACATCTTATTCCGTCACTCTATGTTATAATTGTGGCTCTGACATCTCACCACCCATGCTACCAATCATCGAGTGATCGATCATGACGCAAATATGAGTGATTGTATGTGATATCGATTATGTAACCATCCACGTCACGTTCCAACTACATACTCCGCCGTACATGTACTTGTGCAGCAGGTTCGGCCCATGGATGAGTAGAGCTAGAGTAGAGTACCTAAAGTACTCTAGTGTAGAGTAGAGTAGTGTCTCGCAGCCTGTACGGCGTACCTACATAAGCTATTCGATTCTGCTTAGCAAGGGAAAAGTGATGATCCAGCTGAATGCGCGGAGAGTTGCAACCGGGTCCAGATTGGAACCATTGCATGAGAGACGTGACTTGACTTTGGGGGCCGAATTTTGAATGCAGAGCATCGAACAGGCTGTGAGGGCGGTTGGTAATGGGTGGAATAATACATATACTGAATGTGTTTACTGACGTTTTAGTAATATTACAATTATAGTTACGGCACTGTAATCAGTTAATAATGATAATGATAATAATAGAACTGACGCTTTACTAAGAAACAAGCACTGCCAATATGATGCTGCCGGGTACTACTCTACTGAGATGATAACAGTGGGATCGGAGGCTAAAGAATGTCCCCTCCCGGAACGGATTCATGATGTGAAAATTCAACGCTGGATTACAGTGTATTGATACGTTGCCATCACTATTTTGGACCTAAAGGGAGAGTCTGACTAGACTCTTAATTAATACCTTCCTCTACTATATTTTTTGCATTTCGTGAAAAAACTCAAGCTCGGAATTCCATTTCCCAAGCCCTGAATTCCGTTTCTCAAGCCCTAATTCCACTCCTCAATACAACCCCCACTCGATCACCCAGGCCTTGTCCTGTACTCTGCCTACGGCCTAGAGTACTCTACCGTATAAACCCGCGGACTTAACCATCTCAATCCTTCGGGCCACTCGCGATTGGTCAGAGTTGAGCCTCAGATAGAGTACGTACTCCTCTGCGCAGCCCAAACCCACATCACAGCTATTACAAGCTGCGCAGTGCATACTACATGTATGTAGACATAGAGTAGACTAGGTATCAGACCGCCCCGCGGCCGATGTAGAGTAGCAAGCATGTAGAGTTACGTAGGGTACAAGGCTCCAAATAAACTGAGGTTTCCAAAAAGCCTATCTACGTAACCTAGGTACTCAACCTAAATTGCTGTAGAGTAGTTGACTGATCTACTGCTCAGCCCCGGATGTCAATCTATCTAGTGCGTGTAGCCCCAAATAAACCTTCAAGGTCGTGTAGTGTGTAGTGTTACAAAGTCGTATCACCAGCTAGCCTCACGGAAAGGTGAATAAGTGATTCCAGAATACCAACAGTGAAACAGTCAGATCATGATCTCCGGCATTCCGGCACTCCTCCGGTTTTCCAGAGAAATCCACCAACCTACTTTATCAAGGCATGTGTTTTGCACTCGAGTTACCTCCGCCTAGAACCAAGTAGAGGGCCGGAAACCTACAAAAAAACCAGAGCCTTGTGAGAGATATCTATCTGGCAACTACTCTAGCTGCCTCCCCGGTCAGTCGCGTCGGCATCCGGAACCCACCCGCAAAAACAAAGAACCCTCGCGGCTGATATTGATATCCGTAAAGGCACAGTTGAACACCCCGTGAATTTCGATAACAACCAGCTGGGAGACTAGCTCTACCGACATAGTAGTTCGTTACTCCCCGGCGCGCCATTGGGAGGATAAGCACTGAAGGACGCCCTCTCTCGTGTCCAATCCAACCACCATCGTCTAGCTACCCCTCACTATCTATCAGCTTAATGCACTTGGGAGAAAAGAAACACAATCATCCCTGCACCTAGACCTTCAAACATCGGACTAAGGAGAATATCATTGGAGATTGCTCCTGGCTGACGTGGGTTGGCTCGATCAATGCCCATTGAGACGTCACTATACGTGCTGGAGTGGAGTACGGCCGTCGGCTTACACACTACATCGCGAGGTCGGGTTAGCGCCCAATGGGGGCTTGTGTTTCTCGTCTCCCCAGTGCTCTAGAAAAAAGTCAGGGTGCTGGGGAGGGGAGGGAGTCCTTTGAGTTGGCGGGCGGATCGTTGACTATCTTTATTTTGAGGAGAGATTTCCACCTCCTAGAGCCTCGTGTGAGATTCCGGGGAAGGCGGGGGGCCGCCGGTGATACGGTATTCACTTCCCTTGATCAATTGTTGTAGCCTTCTTTCTCCAGGCCGGCCAGGAGCCGAAGCACGCACGTACACGTCGAAGTTGACTCGCAGATATCTATTTCGAATGACGTCAAAAACAGATCGCCAGTTTCGGTACTGATCAAGATATTAACAATCTACTATCTACTGAGCTAGAGTACTGGTGAAGGGTTCCAATAGTCCAGGAGGTTATTTGCCGAGAGTTTCGAAAAATAGTAGATACAGCTGCGCATGATCATAATATGAGCATGAGAAATACCGTTCTGCGCTTGCGTTTACTGCTGTCCTCGTTTGATTCGTGCTGGGCCTTTAGTTTATGTATCCTTGTGTAGAATTTTTCCTCTGTCTTGCATGAAACCCCGGGATTGATGGCCGGGCTACCTTGGTAAACAGATCATTTCGTATCGATAATTCTAGACGTTTATCAAAAAAATATTTCATCATGTGTCGTCGTCGTGCCGACCACCCTTCACGGTAGCACCACAGAATAGGCCAGCTAGAATCGGCTACTGCCGTCTATTGTTATTGACAACAGATGTCTGCATCTGCATATTGATCTCGAGAGTTGTGTAGTGAAACCTAAAAGTTCTATGCACATGCAGTCCGTTTCCAACGATTCAGCTTCAGAGTTGAACATACCCTAACTTTTCGTAGGCACGAACATCCCAAAGGGGGTAATAATCACAAGTTGCTGCTTTGAGGTTTTGCCAAGGCCCGCTTAGCGTAGAGTATTACATATGTCCGCCTCGATATGGTAACAAAAGTTGTGTTGAGCCTCACTTTCTACGTCATTTTAGCCTTTTTCGCTAACGTGGCCAATGATGGTGGTACCAAGAAATCTGGTAATCCCTGCCAATGGATAACAGAGTGCGCCATAGATCTATTCACGATTCGCCAGATATCCCAAAACCGTATGTAGAGCACCTACTCTGGCTACTCTGTCTAAGCAGCAGCACGACTCACGAGATGCATGCAAAGCATGGACAACACTTCGGTACATTCGGTAGGCGCTTCCCCATCATCATCATCATCACTCTCCCCCTCCCTCCCTGGCTCCCCCGATTGCTGCACAGAGTCGGTATCCATTGGTCGAAAATTTGGGGACACTTTTTTTCTCTATCACCGCGATAGTAGTCCTAATTATGCAAACAGGCGGGCCCCCGACCCGTGAAACCACATGTATGATGCCCTACATATTCAACGGTGGAAAAAAAAGGGAATACCTATATTAAAGGGTAACACCCACACCTCGGGGCACTTTCTGATCTGTGTCTGGAATATAGTGAATAGTACAGTACCAGTCTGTACTGACATTATTCAGTGTACGGAAACCGTCATACAGGATATGTTCGCGAGCCATTCTCAATAACCTCAATTTACCCCTCCCCTCCTCTCTGTAGATCAGGACTCTCTTCTTTTCTCCTCCTTCTCAGCCCTGTAGACCAGGCTTTTTAAATTTACCCTTTAAGCCCATCCTGAACAATGGATCCAGTCGGTCTCTCAGTTGGTCTCCTCACCACTGTCGCCGCGCTCGTCTGTAAGGTCCACGAGATGATTGCCCAGGCCGAGATCGCCGGCGATCAATTCAAAGACCTCACCTGCGAGTTCAAACGCACAGAGGTGGGGCTCAACTGCCTCGAGATGATCTTCAAAACCTCGACCCTCTCGCGCGCAGATGTGGACGAGTACAGCAAGAAATTGGCCGGGTACACTAAAGACCTCCAAAGCATTGGAACCCAGCTCAAGCAAATCCGCGGCAACCTCAGCAGCCGCAAATTCTTCAGGCGTTACTCGCAGAAGCGGGAACTGATGGATGGAGAGCTCGGCCGGCTCAAATCATTAATCGTGGACTTCAACTCGAGCCTGAGCTTTCTTGCCACAACGTACAACTGCGTGCTCAGCGACCGCGCCCACGCCTACGCAAAATCCGCCGACGAGAGGCTCGGCAGCATCGAGTCTCAGCTGAATAGACTGGAATTCAAGACCGAGAAGAACCTGCAGAGCATCAGGGTCGACATCGACCTCAACCTGCAGTACGTGCAGGCCGTGATCCAGCTACAGCAGGAGGAGCCCGACTATTCGATCCCGCTCCCGAAATATGAAAAGTATGAGTCGAAGCAGCCAATGTTTATCTTGACCGATAAGGATACACCGGGGGCAGTGACCCCATACACGACTCCGAGCACGCCGAGGGTTGTCCCCGATTCGGCACCGCGGGTGCCGCTAGGTCCCGGCCCTTCATTTGATGAAGCGTTTCGGACTTCGGATTGGTATGTTACCTGTGGTCTTCAAGGAGCAGAGGATGCGCAGAACGACTATTGGAGGGCGCATGAACTTCAACAAGCCAGTGCTGTTTGAGTATTTTTGTTATACTGGATGAAGCTTAATTACTTTCTATATGCCTTCGATCGGTATCGTTCCTTCTTTTTTTTTTGCGGGGGGGGGCGGTGCATTTTTTTCTTTCTTTTCACTGTCCTTCCTTATTGGATATTTGGTGTTATTGGGTCGGATTTGGTATCGGGTACTGGGTATTGGTAATTGGGTAATGAATGCGCTTTGGGCCTGAGAATTGGGTAATTGTTGGGTATTAAATGGAGCGCAATTGGCGGGCTATTTCTTCCTACTTATTTGGCTGGACACAATTTTGTACATATATTTTCACAGAAGGTTTCGAATGAAATTTGAGCTGAAATGCATAAGGAGACAGGCTGTGGCACGCAATTCTGAATTAAAAGCGTGGGGGGAATAACGGATAGCCGGGATAGGGCAGGGCGAAAAAAAAGAAAGAAAAAGAATGCACATATTCTCGTTCAATTCATTCGTGTCATAGGCAGTCCTTTCATACAAAAGAAAATCGTCCGGTGTCCGTGGAGTGACGGAATCGTGATATACAAATAAGATATGTAGAGTTCTCTAAGCCTTGTGTCGAACTCCAACACACATGTGCGCCTTATCCAAGTTGCTGCCTGGTGTAGAGATAAATATATACAAAGAAAATCAAGTGAAAAAAAAGAAGGAAGGTTACAATAAAACCTGAATTTTGGCTAATGGCAAGTTATTTGCACCGTACTGCTTTAACAGCCCCGGAAACACAGTTACTCGCACCGTTCTTGATGTCTGATCAGAGTGCGGTACAGCTTCCATCGTCGTTGCGTCGAATATTACGACACCGGATCCATTGTTCTGTATCCCCCAAGCCACTTCAAACCTAACCGGCTGAGCTGAGATGGTGGAATATAAGTCTGCTACAGCCGAAACCAGGGCTTGCATACTACAAAACCGTGCATCATCACTCGATCCATTTAGAGCAAATGATCGTGTTAAGTCATGTGTGATCTTAGCAATTCGAGATGTCATATTGCCTGTGTCGTAGTTACTACGCGGAGAAGAGGATTGGAAGGCTGTTTTTTTTTAGAAGGATTAGCTTAAGGACAGACATTTTTGAGAATGAAGACAAGCTACATACCTTTATCATCTAACACTACCTTGGCAATTATTGCTCGCAAAATAGAAATCCTAGATTCCTGTTTCGACAATAAATGTGGCCAACCCGGTACATAGCCGTCTAAAAATTTGCGGTTTTCAGGTGAGAGAGTGTTATCAGAACCGCCCTGATATGGCACGCCGTCCACGGCGATGTAGAAATTCAAAATGTGATCCATTAGACGGCCATCCACGGCCTTAAAAAGGCGAAGTATTGATCCGTCGTCTTTAGGCTGCGATTGCCAAGGTATTTGACCTAACACTTCAGTGGCATGGTGGGGGTGCGACCAAATACAGCCAACATTATTTGCAGGAGTGTGATTATTCCACAAATGGTCGATGATCTCATATGGGGGATTCTCGATCTCCCCGAAATGATTATCTACGGGAATGTTATAATACGCTGGATTTTGGATTTCATAACCACCGCTCACATTGGGTGGAGCGCTCGAAAAACCATTTTGACCGTTTTCACTGGTACCAGCATGATGGTCCGACCCCGACCACCCACTGTCTGGGGCTAACATGACGGGAGGAATGTTCTGGTAGTATTGCCCCATAGGCGGTGACTGAGTGTCCGCACTCCTGGGACTCTGGAGACTCGGGCTCACGCCTTGCCCCTGAACTGAGACGTTTGCAGGACGTTTCCTTCTCTTTTTGCCACTTTGGGAGGTACTAGGTCGGCTCGCGGGTTGGTAATAGTTGTCAACAGCCGAGACTTCGACTTTAGGGCCGCAGATGCCGCAAATTCCGTAAAGCACACGCCGAAGTATACTCAGTTTCGGCTTCGCGGTTTCCATAGTTTCCTTGAGGCAAGAACAGCTGAAGATTCACACAGTCCCTTGTCCAACTTTTCTTACGTGCGTGTTGTCGGGAACGTGCTTTATAGTCCTCGGAATCAGCCGTGTACTGATATAACCGGTAGGGATAGCGATGATAGCGATGCTGACGATAGCTATGTAGTGATGTTGAAAGATTCTTATATATCGGATTCGTATATATGCGATATGATAATGCTGAGCGCAGTAATAGAGGTTTTCATGAATTTCGTGAAGTCGTAACGTTGCCCGAGAAAATATTTTCGAAGTACCACCCGTACAGTGCCTGTGATAGATGAGGCCGGTGGGTGTGATGAGCTTTATGTTAACCCCCATTCATGCATGTATCCTAGTTGAGTGTTGCATCGGCTTCTAATTCAGAGCCAGTAGAGCACCTACGGTCCACAGGTGGTCACCAGCATCTTTACAACCATACACGCTAGTACTACTCAGTGGCAGTCCTTTCCCCTGCCCTTTGGACTAATTAACACGAAACAAAAAAAATTGAACGTTTGTTGTCGCTTTCTTCGCGCCAGGATACCATCTGAGACCTGGGGGCCGCCGGACAACGATAAAAACAGAACAGAACCTCTTTGCTAACGTTTCGATACCCGCTGATCATGGACGATTGTTTCTGTGGATGGAGTACTTGCGCGGCCGTTGATTATTGAGATGCCCTCTCCGCTCCCAGGCGCAAAGCGCGAACATTGATAGTAAGGTGGCAAGTATACAGCACTTTCATCTTACAGCTTGATCAATCGATTCAGTAGCGAGAGAGGCGAATGCTGATGGTGCATACATATACTCTGTCCACAAAGAATACGTACATACATGTCCCGAGTTACGGGAAGGCAATAGATGATGCTTTCAACCAACGTGCAACGCACCACATACATCATGTATCGAGATCAAATCCTTCCTCGCAGAATTTTGGATAAAGGGCCTGCCACTACCCAAGGCTTTTCCTTTAAGCTTTATTATCAAATTACACCTCACAACATGCCTTTTTGTCACCCCACCGTGTGCACCGCAGTCTTTTTAATCACCGTGGCGGAACCGATCGCAAGCACATGTCACTCGACCACATTCCTGGACTTCGAGTGGGGGATTGATGGTTCCTTACTTTTTCCACTTTCTGATTTTCGCCGCTCCAGTCCTGCATGTTGGCGCTCGTCACGGGGAAAGAGAGCCAGTGATTGAAACTCAGGAACAAGCCTACTGGCAACAGCTAGAGCCCGGGTTCTCTCAGCCATCTAGAAGGTGCCACGGGTATGATGGGGTGGTATGTGGTTGGCGTGATATACATGGTATTCAACTCGCTACGAGTCTGGTGTGTAGGGGTGCACAGGTGGGCTTATATCGATTTCATGTTGCCTGAGCATACCCTATGGGAAGAATGTCTAGGTACTTTGGCGTGTAGAAGACTCATAACGACTGTGGCCGAGCTCGAGGGAAAGAAGCCCGTGTGGATCTAAGATTCAGAACTCAGTTAAAAGCTTGCGAAAAAGAGCTTGCGATAGACTAAGCCCAGATGCCAGATACAATCTTCTTCTCGCCCCCGCCCCCCATGGTAGGTACGTACCATTATTATTTGTTTCTCCGAGCTCAAGAGCAATCACATTATATCATACTGCTTCTGCGTTAGCTTTACCGAGTGTGGCATCTTCTGCATTCAGATTCGTTTTATTCGTTTTATTTTCTGCCTATATCCAAGCACGTCGGATAGTTAACCAATCCTCCTTCCAAAAACGTTACGCATGAACCATTAAGTAAAGTAGAGTAGCTACAAAAGAACGGGCGTGCATTCGGTGTAATCCAATAGATTATTGCCAAGCCACCGCGGAAAGCCAATGGTAAGTATACATACCCTACCCATGTAGGTAGCCATACATGATGTAAACTGCATGCATTGCATTGACCGGACTCAATGATAGCCCTTGGACACATGAAACTCTCAGCCTGGACTGTGCACACAGTTGACAATGTTGTGTGAGAGCCAACGAAAAACTACATTGGCTCAATGAGACAGGCTGTGAACTCAAGAAGTCCACTCGGACGTTCGGATTGTAGATATGTACTCCATGTAGGTACCATATGGTACACTCTCAACTTCGCGATCGGCCTTTTTAAAAACTCAACCAATCACTCATAGAAACGGGAAGATCCATTGCCCAAGCAGGTGAAAACCCCACCCTATGGCTTCTCGCGACATATGTACTCTACCTACTCTAGGTTGTGTACTGCGGATACTCTATCCAAAAGTCGAGACATTGCGACGCAGTTTTCGTAACGCCATGTTGAACAATTCGTCCGCTAAATTCTGCTTATCCTACATGATTGATTGGGATGTAGAGTAGGGGTAGAAACATATTGGTAAGCTGGAGCTCGGTATCCACCAGGTGACGTTCCTACTTTCGAGACTCTACTTTAGTGCGAGAAAGTAAAAATACCTATTTTGATCTGTTGCGTTCAGATATGCGCCGGGAGTATCGGGAGTGGAGTGCCTGACCAATGAATTGGTACCAACTGACGTTAGGCGTCCGCTTAGTGCCGCTATGCATGGTCAACAAATTCCTTTGTGAAACCTCTCTTTTTGTTTTACCTAGAAATAAGTATGATCTTTTGGTTTCAAGCGTTTGGAGCATGTCACGTTAAGCGCGCGACAGATACCATAAATCAAGATGTGTTTAGAGTAGGGTTAGGTCCCGCAGCTCGGAATATATATACATGTAATGTACATCGCTGACCTAAGCACATATACCTACATGTATGTATTTTATGCTCTAGCCACAGATATTATTATATGTAGTACTTACTGTGGCTAATCTAAGGATGGTATTTTGGAATTTGCCGATATGTGTCGATAATCGATTCTCATGGTGGGATTTTCCGTAGCCCAGCGGCAGTATGCAGCTGCAAAGACAGGAAATAGGTATAGGTCATGAATCTGCGCATATGTAGAGTAGCCAATTGGCGTGACACAATTTTCGATCTGAAGAGGTTTCACTCATCATGTGCATACATGTATGCATATCATTTTTCTTTTATATGTATGCTGGGTAAGGATTTATATCAGCAAGCTGCAATCTAACTCCATGCGCACTATTATGCGCATTTAACCCCAACAAATTATGTATTTATTTGTATAGTTTCGCCTAGTAACTGCGGGTAGTCGAATCCCCTTGAGCTGACAAGACCGTTAAGCTTGACGTCGTCACGTCGGTGCCATCAAGCGGCGGTATCATTAACGGCCAGATTAGGTTTGAGTTTTCCAGAACCCCCCGCTACCTCGAGCTCCAAATGGGCACTCGGACCAACGAAGTCATCGCTGTAGCCATCGACTTCGGCACCACATACTCTGGTCTGTACCAACGTTCCCGACCCAATACCTCCATTTAAAGGCTAACGGGGTCTAACAAGCTGTCGCCTTTGCACAACTCAATGTGGACAATCTTACACCAGTCCAAATTGGCGACTGGCCAGGCCAGGATCCTGGAACCACCTGCTACGAAGTCCCCACTGTGGTGGTCTACCCCGACAACGGCGGCCCCTCACTTTGGGGGTTTGAAGCCGAGAACTCTACAGATAAATTGTACCCTAAGTTTCGGATTTTCAAGCCCTTCATAGAGCCGAGTTCTATGAGCCGGTATCGAACGCCGCGAAATGTCACACTGAAAGATGTTGTACATGATTATATTCAAGGCTTGTATGACCACTTAATAAGGCACATCACAAAGAAGGGCATCTATTCGAAAAATAAGACAAAGTTGAATATCCTATTGACGGTTCCGGCGGCATATTCGGATCATACCGTGGAGAACTTTCGAAGGATCGTGGAGACTACGGGAATTGGAAATCATACTTTTGAGCTCAATTTGACGGAGCCGGAGGCGGCAGCTCTTTACACTATAGATACATTGGGTTTGAAACGGCCCGATGGTATTCCTAGTTGGAAGGTAGGATACATGTTTTTACCCCACAGAAATATATAATATAGCCGTTTGGGGCTGACAAAATTATATAGAAAAATGACTGCTTTGTTGTTTGCGATTCTGGTGGAGGAACCGTCGACGTCGCATCGTATAGTGTCCTAAAATTAGACCCAAGGATCCAGGTTTCACACACCGGCATAATATCAGGTTTGATCTCTCCATGAACTCAGCTCCAATAGAAACCTAACTAAGTCTGAACGAAATTTATACAGGAAAATACTGCGGATCTACAATGATTGATAAAGGATTCTGTGACTTTGTAAAGCAGTTAATAGGTGATAAGGCCTGGAGCGCTCTAAGGAACGAATCAGAGGTTATCAACAAGAGGTTTATCGCGGAAAAGGTGCGTTTCGAAAATAATCCTAATGAGGAATATTTCAACGTTTTCCTCGGAGATATTCCATGTCCAGGAAAGAAAGGCCAACATCTTCCTATTTCTCGGTAGGAATTTTTTTTTTTTTTGTATAGAGGGGGGGAGAAGACTATACACTGATGAAGGCGTTACAGAAAACAAATGCAAGAACTTTTTGCGATATCCTTGGATGAAGTCAAAGATCTGCTAGTTAAACACATTAAGGGATGCGAGGCCAGCGGTTACCGGGTGGACGTATGTTTAGAATAATGTTTTCTTTTGTATAAATTGGTTCAATATGATGCTAATATGATGTTATATTTAAAGGCTATTTTCCTGGTAGGCGGGCTCGGATCTTCGCCCTATACTAAACAAACGGTTGAACAATACGCCATGGAAATCAACCCTCAAATCCGAGTTTATCAACCCCTCGATGCGTATGTACCCTACGTCCTCTTAATAATAGAGCGTGCTAATGATTGCGGCACAGAGGAGAAGCGGTAGTACGTGGAGCTCTTGTTAAGCAAATTCAGATGCTTAAGGATCTTGAAGACCCTGTGCAGTCGCGGCTTAGCAGGAAGAATTATGGGCTAGTCACGATGAAGCCTTTCAATGAGAGAAAACATTTTGCGTATGAAAAATGTGTGGATCCGTTGACAGGGAATATTCTTGCAAAGGACCAAATTGAGTGGTTCATACGTAAAGTATTTATTCCCATAGGGGTATACGGAGCATTAAAAGCTTACTGAAACACAGAATGATTCATTCAGTGGGGGAAATGAAAAATGCATTGAGAAGCTTTTTAAGAGGGACTTTTTTCCCTCAAAGGATGGCTACCGTTGGAAGGAGGTCATTGTTGAATGTTCCCATGACAACCCACCATTCCGTGTTGAACCTGGTAAGTCATCCTTCTAAGATCAACCATTATTACAAAACTCTTACACGTCTTTTCAAATACATGCAGGGATCAACCAAGTCTGTACACTGGTCGCTGACCTCAGCAACTGCCCAGTCCGCGAATTTGAAAAGAACAAGAAAAAGAAGGGGGGGCCCTTCGCCTTCATATCGGCGAAATATTATCATGCTAGGTATAAAATCAACATACATATCGGGAGTGTAGGTATAAGGGCAGAAATGTTTTATAGAGACGAGCCGAGGCCTGACCTGATGACTGTTTTGTGGCCTGATGATGATGAGGAGGAGGAGAATGATGACAGTACTCGAGTCACTAGCTAGAGACTTTCTTTTCTTTTTTTCTGATACTCATAATACCCACATCCGAATTCTCATTGCTGTAGGTACACTCTACTATATGTTTATTCAAGTATATGATAATCACTTTGGAATTCCCTTGATCCCGTTGTTTAAAAATCAACAAATTTTTCTTTGAAGCTTCAGCCCACTAACTTAACAAGGATGGGGAAGTTACCTGAGCGCAGAACCTTTTTCTGGTTATTCTTAGCAATGACTAGGGAACTGCGGTATGTCTACCCTGTGTAAGGTATGTAGAGTAGTGTACCTGCATACTAAGACAGCCATCAGTTCTCAGGGGTGCCTTAGTATACGCAGGTGGGCTTTTATTTTCCTGCATACCCCCAATACCTTGCCTCATATCGACGTTGGACGTACTTACTCAGACCGTATACAACCTGGTCAAAAAAAGCCCCTCCAATAGATTTGCGAAGACTAAGGACATGGCCATAAAGAATACGTCCTTGATGAACATGACTCGAATCCATCATCGATACATGTAGTTAGTCCGGGACCCTGCATTTTAAAAGTGTGGCATAGTAGACAGGGTTATGTGGCGCTTACCAGTTGGCTTCTTGGCCTTGGCAAGAATCAAATCGTTCTGTGTCATGCCAGTGATACATGGTGACTGGCAGCTACGTAGTTTGAGGGAGGCGTTTTAGCAAAGCCGCAGTGTTGTCACCAAACAAGCGTGGCGGGCGGATACGTGTATTATATCCTCGAACAACCCTTCAATCCCGACCATCACTTAATCAATCAAACCGAGTGATATATTATGCCTACGGGTAAAATCACTAACTAAGATTACAGCATGTACTAGTTGCAATCTGTCTAAGGCTGATGCCCTGCGCCGTTACACTCCGCCAGCTGAAACACCTGTCTATGGGAATCCAATCACCCTAATCTATACGCGTACGGTTGACTAGCCTATGTGGCGATGCTCAGTGTGCATGCAAGTAAGTTCGAATTCACAGGGTGTTATTTCTATCGGGAAGTCCTTATGCGCGGAACTTTCCAGAATCCAGTACTGTTGAGAAGATGAAAGACTTCAGCATCGATTTTTTTCGATGGTGAATGATCTACCAATCCTATTCTAGACCTAGCCCATGTACCGGTCTTATATAAGTGGTCCTAGAATTGAAACATGTTGGAAATGATAACTAACGCTATTAGTGGGTATTATTTAGCTCGATCTCAAACAATAATAGAGGATACAGGCTTTTATCCAGCCTTGTTTATATATTTTGTGTGGACAAAATGAAGTTTGGAATATTACTCAAGGCAGTGTCAAGCAAGAGATTTTCACCAGCCAGGTCAGCTACATAGGTAAGACAGCAAACGTTCACATGTATCCTCCGGCATACATGTAGCTAATGTAGTACATCTTCCCATTTATATGGGCATTCGTTTAAAGTTTGTGTTCCTGTATAAATTGACGGAAGCTCGGTCCCACAATTGCAAGTGTCGAGTTGATGCGTTGGCTAGCTAAGTAACCCTTTCTTCGAGCGTCTGAGCGAGAAACTTCTGCTGGCTTTCATCTAATAATGAGACAAATGTTCTTTGTGAGTGGTACATGATGTATATAATATAAAATTCAATGCAAAAATTCAAGAAGATGGCCCATGGTACAGGATTGATATAATCAATCCGGTCGAAGAAGGTGTGCTGCCACCCGCAACATATGTATGACAAGACAACATTAAATACATGTAGAAAGACAACACAGGTCTCGTACAAGTGTGGGTGGCTTAATACCGTTGGGGCTAAGTATATTAGGTCTCCATGGTATAAACAAAATTAATCCAACAGCGCAGCAAAATTAATCCCCTGAGCCTCACAGAAAATTTCGCGACCTATATTCAACTACCTAGGCCTATAGGCCTGGTATTTCGAGACCACAAATTTATCTTCTTTATATTATATGTACAGATGAATGGGGAGTTCTAAGATGGAATTTGAGCACATGCAGTATATATAGTCACGGAATTTAAAACCCTCTAGTAGGAGTGGAAATGCATCAATTTTGACGTTTCCCATACAAAAAGTTGCGAGATACATATTTGATGCAATAATCGACCGACTGTGTGTTAAAGGCATTCCCGTCCCATTACCGACGAGTTTACAAATGCATTTATTGATGTATTTACCTGTTAAAGGCATGTTAAATGCAAAAATACGACTTTACTGATACATTTACCTGTTAAATGCAATAAAATACGACTTTATTGATGCATTTACCTGTAAAACTGATGGTTTCCGGTGTGTCCCGTTGTTCCGCCGGAAAATTAATGTTTCCGATGAAGCCTTTTGTTTGGATCTCGAGATAGTGGAGTGCTCAAACAAAATATCTCGGTGGGGTCATCAAATGGTATCTGGCATCAGTGGGCTTGTAACAGTTGGGGAATGCAATTTCATTTTGGTGGATCCATTGTTTGGCATATACATGCAGGCTATTCTGGCTTGATGCTACAAGTATATATAATGGTACTAGGATGCCCTTTGATGATTCTTTCCATTGGCGGTGGCTTCAGGCAATCATGTGAAGCATCACCGGTGGCCAAAACGTATCCCCCACTGTGTATACGCTTAAAATGTGTGACAGAAGCGTGACCGGTAATTGCATCAGTAAAGTCGTTGGTAAAGTCATTTTTAATATTTATTTTATCGTCAGTAAAGTCGTCCGATTTCCCTTAAAACGACTTTCCCTCCACCAAAATATTGACATTTCCCAGCGAGAATTGGGACCCCAGAAACGATTTTCCCGACGACTTTGCTTAATATTCGAGGTACACATTTCCACTCCCCCTAGAGACCTCTAGCTATGCCATACGACTTTGATATGACTGGTACAATTGGGCTTGGCTAGAAGCATTTTTTAGTTATTTTTAAGAGTACGGCTCAACCCACTTTGACGGGTAGGTGTATCAATTTGAATTCTCATTGGCAGAAATCGACTTCTAGCTCGAAGGAAGCGGTGATTTAAGGTCTTTACCTGAGGCTCTTCCTTAACTACTTATTTCAAATAAAGAAGACATACTCACCCACCATAGCTATGTGTTGCGGGCCGTTTTCTCTGATTGCTCGATACTGGAATTGACACAAGCTCCTGCCTAGGCCTGCCTAGGCCGGATATGATTTGTTTTGGCAGATTGCATATGTTCCCATCGAGTCCCTGAAAACGTTTGAGTCCCCTTCGTTCGGACATATATATAATGTGGAAACGCAGAGAATTGTTATAAAACCATTCCCTTAAACTGGAACCCTTCACCAATTATCATCCACCTGATCAGAGTGGGAGATGTTTAATGAGGAGCCGAAGTGTCTATTGAATACCTATGCCAAGCTGTTGAAATATGGCTTCCGAGCCTAGGCTTAAATATGTGGTTGTCACTATGAATCACCATAATATGTCACTGTGTTGCATACAATAAATGACAACCCCATATGTCACTATGGTGTCAAGAGTAGATGATGTCAACAGCTGGATAGTCCAGTATATCAAGAGCTATATGGGTATAAGGAGATCTACACTGATTTGTACTCTAGTCCTGTATACCTCTCGACGGATCTAAGATGTCAACTAAGCAGTTCATATTTCTCTCAAGCTCACAGTGCGGGTGCGAGTGACATACTGTGAACCAGAATTATAACTAGTTAAAACATGACGTATGACTTACACCGTCGCAATGTTAACAATCAACTAAGTACATAATATCTCATAATAGTTAAATCCGAACTCGTCTCTCCCTGCTCTGTTTATCGATAAGAAAAAAAGAAAGAAAAAAGACTGCAACCGTTTATTGTGATCCGTTCCTTTAAACAGAAGAAGAGGTGAAAGGTAAAGGAGAAGCAAGAACCTAGTTAAAGTAAAAATAAAAGATAAAATAGAACCCGAAAAGAAAAAAAAAGAGATAAAGACCCCTGCCCCACCCAGTACCAGGCCAAACCTGTATCAAGACCAAAGCAATTCCAAACAATAAAACCTACAGAAAATGAAATGATAAACGGAGAAGGAGGAGGCCCATGGACTAACATAGTTGGCTTTTAGTGTAAACCGACCCCAGGCTGTTGTGATACCCCTTCTTAACGTCCCACCCCGGAATAATATTGCAACGACAAGCTACGCCACCATGAAACCCAGCACGAAATACAAGATAGACAAGATAGACCAGAACCGTTGCATCATAATTCCCCATTTTCTCTAACAAAAAGAAAAGAATAGAAAAAGGAAAATAGAAAAAGAAAGATTTCATTGTACATTTCAATTTACTGCGACGCACACTGGACTCTCTCACCACCCGGGTGACCATCGTCCTCTTCGTCCATACCTTGCGCAGAAGCCTGCACACGTGCTTGCTGGCTTTGATCAACCTCCTCCAAGGCAACATCGTCTACCATTGCATCCGGTGGGATTTCAGGCATATTCCTTGGTGGCAAGATAGTTTCGAGAAGAGCAATTTGCTCTGGGGTGTTGAAGTGGTCCGGAGGGAATTTCACATCGAATTGAATGTAAAGATTACCATGATCGTGATGACGGTATGATGGCATACCTTGGCCGCGTACTACTTTGACGGAACCTGGTGGGTGAATTAGCTATCTGAAAGACTGGTATTTAAGGGAATGTTGGGCTTACCTGGACTAATAACTTCACCAGGAGTGATGGATACTGTCAACCAACGGTCGTCAAGATGTTCAACGGCGATAGAGCCACCGGCCAAGGCTGTGAGTAGGTCGATTTCGGCATGATAATAGAGGTCATCTCCTTTTCTTTGGAATCTTGGGTGAGGCTTTTGCTCGATGACAAAGATGACATCTCCGGGAATGATATCTGGGCCTTGATCTCCTTCCCCGTTGAAGGTGATCTTTTGCCCATCTTGCATACCCTTATCAACGTGTACGTGGAGAACCTTGCGCTCGGTGATAGTCTTCTTTCCGTGGCAGCCCTTGCACTTATCCTTCTCCTTGATGATCTCTCCGTCACCGTT